GTCCTAGTGACTTGGTAAGCTGAGGCAGGAGTCACTTGAGTCCAGAAATTCTGTCTCCTATAAATAAGCCCAATTACATAAAATGGTAAAAACATACTATAATCCCAGCAAAGGTTTTTGTTGTTGTTGTTTGTTTGCTGCTTTTTTTTTTTGACACAAAGTTTCAGTCTGTCACCGAGACTGGAGTATAGTGGCAGGCTCACAGCTCACTGCAGCTTAACCTCTCAGGTTCAAGCGATCCCTCCACCTCAAGCTCTCTATCTAGCTAGAGCTAATTTTTGTATTTTTTGTAGAGAAAGTTTTACCGTGTTACTCAGGCTGGTCTTGAGCTCCTGGGCTCAGCAATCTGTCCACCCCAGCCCTCCCAAGTGCAGGATTACAGCAAAGCCACTGTGCCGCACCACAAAGGTTTTTTGGTTTTTGGTTTTTTGGTTTTTTTTTTTGAGACAGTATCTCACCTCTGTCACCCGGCTGGAAAGTGCAGCAATGCAATCATGGCTCACTGAAGCCTAGACCTCCTGGGCCCAAGCAATCTGCATGTAGCTGGGACCGCAGGCCTGTGGCAACCACAACCAGTTTTCTTTGCTTTTTTTTTTTTTTTTTATGAGATGGAGTCTCCACCATGTTGCCCAAGGTGGTCTCAAATTCCTGGGCGCAAGTGATCCACCCACCTCAGCTTCCCAAAGTGCTGGGATTACAGACATAAGCCACCAACCAGCAGTTTTTAATAACAGAAAAATTACAGAGAAAATCTTCTATAATTCCTTCTAGGTAAGAGGTAAACAATCGGTGGTGTGGTGAATCACGCCTGTAATCCCAAAACTTGGGAGCCAAGTCAGATGATATCCTTGGAACCCGAGGAGTTGGAACCAGTCTGGGCAACCATGGCAAGGCCACTCCTACAAATATACAAAAATTGGTCAGGTGTGTGGCCACACACCTATGATCCCAACTAACTTTAATACTTAGGAGGCTGAAGTCAGAGGATCACCTGAGGCCAAGAGGCCAACAGGTTGCAGGGGCTGAGACATCACGCTACCACACTGTTGCCTGGATGAGAGAGTGAGGCCCTGTCTCTAAAAAAAGAAAAGAGGAAAAATCAATAAGGTGCTTAATTCTTCTCTTGAGTCTCAATATGTTAATAAAATTTCGTGGTAATGTGGAAATATGTTTCAGTAATGAATATAAAAAGCTAATTTAGAATCACAGTTAGAAAAGCATTTAAAATTTGAAATTAAAAATTAAAAAATGAACCAAATGAAAATCTCAAAAGAATTATTTTTGGAGAGAGGGGGCACCTAAAAATGATGTTGCTAAAGTTCAACTGAAGAGTCAAACATTCCTGCAGGAGCTGAATTTAAAAAAAAAAAAAGACAGGATTGCCACATTTTTTCCTAAAAAAATAAAAGAAATATAATGTAACAGAAACAGGGACCACTAGCATTATCAAACAATATAAAGTTCCAATAATTAAAACGCTGGGTAGTGAAATAGTAATCAACAATCAAATCAGTGGAACAGAGAGAGGACCTAATAAAAAAACCTAGAATATATGGAAACATAGGATATGACACATATACAAAAGAACTGAAAATACATGGCCACAAAAAAAAAAAAAAGTATACACAATGTTTACAATGGCATTATCTTCGCCCTCCCCTGACCATTTTTAAAAGACAGTGTCTTGCTCTGTTGCCCAGGCTGGAGTATAGTGGCACAGTTATGACCGTGCAGTTATGACTGCAAACTGCAGCCTCAGTCTCGAGACTCAAGCGATCCTCCTGCCTCAGCCTCCCAAGAAGCCAGGATTACGGGTGCCATGCTCACTATGGCAGCATTATTCATAACAGCCAAAAAAAATAGAAACAATCCCTCAACTGATGGAAACCAAAAAAAAATACGCAAGCAACAATGTCTATCAACTGATAAACAGGTAGAAGAAATGTGGTATAGCCATCCTAGCACTTTGAGGGGCCAAGGCAGGAAGATCGCTTAAAGCCATTAGCTCGAGATCAGCCTCGGCAACATAGGAAGACCTCATTTCTACTTATTTTACTTTTTATTTTTCTTCTACATTTAAAAAACAGTCCATCTATTTTTTTAATGTGAATATATCCATACAATGGAATATTATTTGGCCATGGAAAGGAATTAAGTACTGATATATGCTGCAATATGAATAAACTGTAAAAACATTGTGTTAAGTGAAATAAACCACAAAAGGCCATATATTGTACAATTCCATTATATTAAATATTCAGAAATATGAAATTCCACAAGAGAAAGTAAATTAGTGGGTTTCTAGAGACTGAGGGAACAAGAAAATGGAGAATGACTGCCAATGGGTACAGGGTTTCTTTGTGTGGTGATAAAACTGTTCTAATATGACCAGGTGTGATGGTTCACACACCTGCCAATCCCAGCACTTTGGGAGGCAAGGTGGGCGATCACTTGAGGTCAGGAGTTTGTGACCAGCCTGGCCAACATAGTGAAACCCCGTCTCTATTAAAAATACAAAAAAATTTAGCCAGGCATAGTGGTGGGTTACCTGTAATCCCAGCACTCGGGAGCTGAGGCAGTGAGAATCACTTGAACCCGGAGGTGGAGGTTGCAGTGAGGTGAGATCGCACAACTGCAACTCCAGTCTGGGCAACAAGAACAAGACTCACTCTCAAAAAAAAAAAGTTCTAATATAATAGTGGTGATTAGTATACACTTCTCGTGAATATTACAAAAACACTGAATTGTATACTTTAAAAAAGGTGAGTTTTATGGTCTATAAATTATATCTCACAATGCCTTTTAAATTTATTTTTACTTTAATTTTTTTTTTTTTTTTTTTCTTAGAGACAGAGTCTCACTGCGTTGCCCAGGCTAGAGTGCAGTGGTATGATCATACATCCTCCAGCCTCAGCCTCCTGAGAGGCGGGCCACCACGCCTGGCTAATTTTCTTTTTAATTTTGTGTAAAAGCTAGTCTAACCACATGCCCAGGGTGGTCTTGAAACTCCTGGGCTCAAAGATGCTCTTGCCTTGGTCCCCAAAGTGTTGAAATTACCAGTGTGAGCCACCATGCCTGGCTGATAAAGCCTTTTGTGTTTTTGTTTTTGTTTTTGTTTTGAGACAAGCTCTGGCTCTATCGCCCAAGCTGGAGTGCAGTGGTGCCATCTAGGCTCACTGCAATCTCTGTCTCCCAGGCTCAAGCCATTCTCCCACCTCAGCCTCCCAGGTAGCTGGGACTACAGATGCATGCCACCATACCCAGCTAATTTTTGTATTTTTTTGTAGAGACGGGGTTTTGTTACGTTGCCCAGAGCTAGTCTCAAATTCACAAGCTCAAACAATCCACCCACCTCGGCCTCCCAAAGTGCTGGGGTTACAAGCATAAGCCACCACACCCGGCCTGATATGGCCTTTTTCAAAACAAATACATTATAATTCCTCTGATGGTCGTGTGATTAAATGATTAAAATGGGGCAATATTTAAGTACACTAGACAAGCACTCCTTACCACCCTGAATCAGCTGGCGGGCCATAAACAAAGCAGTAGAACCAGTAGAGCAGTTATTGTTGACATTGATTATAGGAATTCCAGTCATTCCCAAACTGTGATAGATAGCCCTCTGCCCACAGGTAGAGTCACCTGAATAGAAAAACAAAAATTTTAATATGGAGAATTACGGAGCTGCAATGCAACATAATACTACATTATGTGTTTTTTTTAATATTATACCTTTGCCAAGCATATAACCCGTGCAAGACAATAAATATCTTAGAAACAGTTTTAACACTAACCATCATTTACTCTGCAAAAAAGACTGAAAACAGAATATATGTGCACTTTCTTTATATAATACAGAGGTAGAGAAGTAAAGAAATGATCAGTTAATAGAAAACGATTCCATCTGGCTAAGGCTATATGATAAAGAAAGCAATATTTCATTAACACCTAAATGTCGGATAAAAATCTTTAAACCTTGCCAGGTGCGATGGCTCATGCCTGTAATCCCAGCACTTTGGGAGGCTAAGGCGGGCAGATCACAAGATCAGGAGATCAAGACCATCCTGGGCTAACACAGTGAAACTCCATCTCTACTAAAAAATACAAAAAATTAGCCAGGTGTGGTGGCATGCACCTGTAATCCCAGCTACTTAGGAGGCTGGAGCAGGAAAATCACTTGAACTAGGAGGCAGAGGTTGCAGCGAGCCAAGATTGCACCACTGCACTCCAGCCTGGGTGGCAGAGCGAGACTCGGTCTCAAATAATAAATAAATAAATAAAATCTTTAAACCTATGACAGTGATTAAAAGCCATGATTTACTTTTCATATAAAAGATTCCACAACTTCGAAAAGTTTAAAAAGACCCTGCATGCCAAGGCATTCCAGGAAAACATGATCCATGTTAAATACATATGTGACTTCCTTTCCCCAAGTGTAAAAAGTAAAGTAGAGGTTCCTCTTCAAAGAATTTCCTCCCATTTAATTAGGAATAGATAGTAACTTCTTTCTT